AGTACAGAGGCCGAACTTCGAGCACTTGCTACTACCACTTCAGAAATTTTATGAAATTATATGGCTTCGATGGTTGTAAGCCGATTTTGGTATTCCATGTGATGATCCTACGCCTTTTCTTTGTGATAATACTGGAGCAATTCAAATTGCCAATGACCCAGTAAAGCATGAACTTACAAAACACATTGGTGTTGATACTTCCTTTACCCGATCTTACTGTCATCAGAAAACAATTATTCTTCAGTATGTGCCGTCAGAACTGCAAGTGGCTGATTTTTTCACCAAAGCACAAACTAGAGAGCAACATCGGCTTCACTTGCTCAAACTCAATGCTTCGGATCCTCCACCTCCACCTTGAGTTTGAGGGGGGGGGGGGGGGGGAGGGGGTTATTAACTATATTATAGGCCCAGCTCATATTGCTTAAGGCCCTAAGTCTATATATATGTGGCTATCCTCACTTGTGCATATTCATACGTCCAAAACCCTAAGGTTTGTAACAATGCCCATGGCTTTGGTTGGCTTGCCATGATGATGGACCCTAACGAACGGCCGATAATAGTAATGTTGTTGACATCAAGATAGGGAGATCAATGATAGGAAAGGATCGCTACCATCGTTAACGGTGTCAAGAAGTCATGATTATGAGCCTTTCTTCTTTTCAGACAGCTGAGGCAATGGTCCTATTTGCAACAACGCTACATTCAGCCACTCGAGATAGTAGTTAACTTCTACACACTTATGCAGCAAATTCATATGATTCAACAAATTCATTTGATTCAACATAACAATATGTCTATTGATGCGTACTACTCGACTTTTGATTGTTTGATGGCACCGTTGATCTTCGTGGTACCTCAATGCAAGGAAGAGGAGTGTTCAGCAAATACATCTTTGAGAAAATTTTCATATATCGTTTTGTCATGGGAGTAAGAGCAAAATTTGATTCCACTCGTACACGGTTGTTTCATAATTATTCTATTCTAACCATGGCACATGAATAATCGGCATTAATTGCTAAAGAGACTCGTCTCCATTCTATGTCAGTTGCTCCTCAATCAGTATCTCATAATGTATTGGCAGCTTCTCAAAGAACATTTTTCTCCACAACTTAGTGCACCTAGAGGTTACTCTTCAGAAACTTGTAAGAATTGCAAGAAGACAGGTCATAGTGTGGAGAACTGTTTTCCAAACATACAAAAAAGGTTGTTAAGCATTGTGCACGTTGTGCTACTCGAGCTCGTAGTATGACTCCTGCTACAAAGGGGTCTATATCGCTTACGATCTTTCCCCCGAGTAGAGCATCAACCTCGTGCAGCTGCAACAGGATTTGAAAAATATTCAGGGGCATCTTTGCATGTGACATATGATCAGTCCCGATTAGTGGCTTGCAAGGCGATCCAACTCGATCACTGATGGTACTTTTATATCCAACACCTGATGATGGCACATCTTGTCATGAGTTCTATACACAATTCACATTTTTTAGTGTTCAATTACCGCTTATGTTCCTAAATTATCCATGAATCCTCTTTCAGTTGGCTGAATCAAACTATTTTGTTGGATTTGTACTCATCTTGTTTTATTCAGGACCGTCGAAGCGAGGAAGCGAGATTGTGATTGGGACTGGCTATCATCGTAGAGGTTCTCCAAGTCTCCACATTTTAGACACTTTGAATTTTCCCTCTTCCGTTAGTTCTACTACTCGTATGTTAATTATTACCTTGTTTTCCACCTCATCTTTCGTCAAGTGGCATCACTATCTTAGCCATCTATGCGGGTCTCTTTTTTAACCTATGATTAGTAATGGTTATTTAAGTCATACATCTTTCGACTCTAGTTTTCATTGTAAATGTTGCAAGCTCAGAAAACAACTTTAACTTCATATTCTACTAGTATTTCTCATTCATCTTTATTGATTTTGATATATAGGTCCTTCCCATATTCCTATAAAAGGCGGCAATAAATATGCTATTTTTATTGATGATCATTCTCGACATACTTGTATTTATTTTATGTAACATTCAGTGATATCAAATGGCGGACATGGCGCTATGGCGTGGCGGATTTTCAAAAATCCGCCATGCTAAATCTGTGAAGGATGGTGGTTATGGCGGCGCCATAAGCCGCCATAGCAGATGTTTTGGCAAACCATCATTTACCACCCTCCACCATCTGCCATTAATAACATTTGTTCACAGTTGTGTTCCATATACAAGATCCTTGCTCGCATGGTCCATATGCAATTTTCTACTCCTATTCGGGTCTTTCATTCTGATATTAGTGACAATTTTTGTATGAGGGTAGTCTTACGCTCATGTCCTGGTGCACATGCTCAAAATGATGTTACAAAAAGAAAACAATGTCATCTCATTGAGACTGCTTGCACCAATATCTTATAGATCGATAATAATCATAAAAAATGTCTCCTGGTGAGGTCCTTTTTGGTACTCCCCATAACTATGATCATCTTCGAACTTTCGGATCTACATATTATGTTTTGCTTGCTCCCTAAGAGTAACTAACTGTGCAGTGGTTGTGAGTTTCTTTCTTGGAGTATAGTCCTAAGCATAAGGGTTACCGTCGTTCTTCTACAGAGTCAACCTCATTCTTATGTATTTCTCCTAAGGATGATGTTCTTACCTCTTCACCATCTCCCTTGGTCCCAATCTCTCATGGTGAGCCTCCACCACCCTAACAAGTCCGCTCATATAAACCACTTATCGCACAAGTCTATACTCTTCGTCACATAGGTCACACAGCGCTTCCACCTCATTCTACTTCCTTAGCCAGTTCTGATGCACCTGTCTTTGATGATTCTATTGCTTTCGATGTGTCGCATGCTATTCCTAGAGTGCTTATAATTTACGTGATCGTGCTACTGTTGAGCCCCTGGCACGTTGGGTTTTCCACAGTTTGTTGCTATTATTGATGAGCCATCAACTTATCAAGAAGCTTCGAGTATTTCGGAGTGGGAAATGTCTATGTCTGAGGAGCTTGCTGCATTTTATCGTACTGGCACTTGGGACCTTGTTCCACTATCGTCACATGCCTTACCTATCACCAGTAAGTGGGTCTTTAAGATTAAGACTATGTCGGATGGTTCCATTGAGAAATATAAAGCTCGTCTTGTTGCTAGAGGCTTTCAGCAGAGAGACACAAGATTATGATGAGCCTTTTGCTCTTGTTGCTCACATGGCCACCTTTCATACTCTAATTGCAGTGGCTGCTACTCGTTCTTGAATCATATCTTAGATGGGTGTGATGAATGCTTTCGTTGATGGTGATCTCCATGAGGAAGTTTACATGCAACCACCACCAAGAGTCAATGCCCCCTCCGAACATGTTTGTCATCTTTGTCGTGTTTTATATGGTCTCAAACATGCTCCACTTGTTTGGTTTGAACGTTGTCTCTGTAATACGGATTGTTGGATTTTCCATGCAAAACACATTTCTCATGTCGAGAAGTAACTTAGTCAGCAATTTCAGAAAGCCTGATTTGGGTCCTTTAGGCATTGAGGTGATGCACTCCGACTTTGGGATATTACCTTTCTCAATCCAAATACATACTAGATCTTCTTGCTCGTTCAGGTATTAATGATAATTGGATAGCGACAACACCTGTGGATCTTCACTTGCAGCTTCGTCCAATTGGTACTCCTCTTGAAGATCCTTCTCGACAATATTGTGGGCAATCTAGTTTATCTTACGGTTACTATACATTGCTCATGTTCATATATTGAGTGAGTTTGTGAGTGTTCCTACTTCATTTTATTTTGGACATTGGCTTCGTCGGTACTTACAGTGTTTGTTTTATGCTCGTAATAGTCTTCTTCAGCTTCATGCTTACTCGTACTCTAAGTTGGCGAGTAATCCAACAGCTCGTCGTTCTTATTGCATTTTTCTTGGTTCTTCTCCTCTTACATGGAAGTCCAAGAAGAAGCAGGCAATTGTATCTCGATCTAGCATAAATTATCTCTATAGGCAGAACTTCGAGCACTCGCCCCTACTATTTTAGAAATTATATGGCTTCGATGGTTGTTAACTGATGTTGGTATTTCAAATGATGCTCCTAAACCTCTTCTTTGTAATAACAATAGAGTCACAAAAATTGTCAATGATCCTGTGAAGCATGAACTTATAAAACAAATTGGTGTCGATATTTCCTATACTCGGTCTCATTGTCATCACAAAACAATTGTTATTCACTATGTGCCACCGGAACTTGCAAGCGGTAGATATCTTCACCAAAGCTCAAACTAGAGAACAACATGAACTTCACTTGCTCACACCCAATGCTTCATGAACTATATATGGTCGTTCACATTAATATCCAAACCCTAAGTTTGTAACACGGTCATAAGAAGTTATCAGCCAAAAGCCATCTAATGCTATTGCATAGAGACTATTGATGCATCAGTTCTTTTTTGTTTCCTCATCTTTGGAGCCTAAGTTTTAGTGAACATGTACCAAACAATTTCATCTAAATTACGAGCAATTTATTGTTAATGACATCTGCATAAGTAAACTAAGCTTTGGAACTTAAAATTCTAGCAATTTATTGTTAATGACATTTAAATTACGAGCAATTTATTGTTAATCGTATGCCTATAGAACTTAAAATTCTAGCATAACAAGAAAACATCGTGTTTACGGTATTCCAAAAGTAAACTAAGCACTGGTCCCATGGTTGTCTCCAGTTACATCACTCTTTTAGGTGGTGGTAAGTGGTAACAATATATTTGTGAACATTTGAATACTACAGGTTTAGTGCCTGATGAAATAACTATTTTCAGTAGGAAAAGTAGCCGCCGTCTCATATCTAGAGGCACTTGCAAAACACCTACCTGAATTACACATCAAACTAAACTACCATTGGCATCAAACCATAATAGACTGTAATTATCTAGACAGTATTTTATTGTTAACGCATTAATGGTCCGTATCGAAAAGATATATAGAAGCTACTCTAATGCAATATTTGGAAATTATTGGCAGCAGCAGAAGCAATTAGCTATGAAATAATGTAGATAAATGAGTCAAATGTACCAGAAAACAAATCAAGTAAACAAAAGCTGATGTTGCACCATCTTACCTCTGTAAGAGCCGTCTATTTGGTTCAGGGAATGTTTCTTGTATAGCAGAGTGCAACGCGTTCACCCGAGCTTCCTTTGGGTCAATTCCTTCTCAAGAGCCACAAAAACTTCATGTAAATCACAACTAAACCCCAAGCAAAATTTGCAAGAGATACGAGTACATGAGGAAGTCAGTGCAAACATGGTTAGATGATAATTACTGTGGAAGAAACTTACTGTAAGCTTCCAACAATGCAGTACAGCAGGATGCAGGAACAGGAGATGAAGGTAACTCACGAAGAACATGCTGAATGGAAGAAAACTCGAGTAATTATGAGTTAAATCAAACAAGAACTAAAGAGAAGATTAATTAATGAAATATCAAACCTTAACACAATCACCAACGACATGAGCATCCTCATCAGGATTAAACTCAGTCTTGCCTGAAATCAAATAGCCATTAAATTACTTAACATACTGTGTCAAGTAATTGAAACTTGACATTCGATTTGACAATAAGGAAGAATAAGACAAGCATTCAAGAATGTAATCAAAGCAGAAACAAACAGAATATTTTGTTTAATTATGTTAGCTCGAATCAAGCAAAAACCTCCTTCATATTCTTGAACTCTTCTCTCCACTTCTTCTACATCTGCGGACTGCCTCAGTATTCCTTCCACTTTAACTCCTATCAAGCATATGTATAGTCAGAATACTCTCTGATAAGAGAGAAACAAAAGCTTCAGGACCACTGCTAAATCCTCTTAGGAGGCAATGGTAAATCATAATATGGATTCAACTGATCATACGAAATATCCACCTCAAACTGAAAGCTGAGAAATGATTGTCAATGTGTGAGAAAAATGAGAAAAAAGAAATTATTTCTACATATTTCCACGATCAAGATGCAGCCATCATAGAAATAATCAGAAGCCTAATTAGCTACATCCAGGTCCTCCCAGATCACATGATAAGCAGCAAACACTTTTGTGGTCAGCTTGCAAGTGTAGAATCTCTACATGACAATTATTGTTTAAGTAAATGATTTCTTCCCAAGATGGACAAACTGAGGAACAAAGTGAACAGGCGCATAGTTGATGGGGTAAGGAAGATGTGAAAAGTACGTGTGAAAAGCACAAAACACATTAATACGAACATAATAATATTAAAAAAAATATTTTTTTTCATTACCCTACATAGCTTAATTATTGCAACACTTCAGTTTAGTTATCAACAATTAGCTCCACAATAGTTGCACAAAAACAGGTAAAGCATAAAGAAAACGGATTGGATGTGGGTGAAACTTACTCGTTGAAATCAATACAGCTTCAATATTTCATGATAACATAGTTTAAAGGGAACAGAGCAAGCAATTCCAGATTGCAAACAGGACATTACCATGCTTCTCAAGAAACCGAAGTGCTTTTTCGAGGAAGGAGGGTCCTCCGTCAATATCTTCTAAAGCAAGCAAAATTGGACGTCCAATAACCAAAGATTTAACTGGGCGTTTGTCCCTCCCTGAATCATAGCAAAGCATCACAACATACACGTCGATAGTTAACCTTCATGTTATGCTGTACAAGCAAGTGAAGGAGAATTTTCATGGAAATGCAACAAAAAAAAATATATATTGAAGAACATGGAAGAAACTAAGGAACATACATTGATGCAAAGATCCTTCTATCGTATCATTACAATCAGTTCTGAATATCCCATTATGTCCCATCACAAGAGCAGCACTTGGTGCTTGGGCAAGAGCATGCTCAAGGGCCGTCTTCCACTCATACAGGTCCTCCATTGTCTCTGCCTGAAGTACATAACAGAAAGAGGAGAGTAACTAATTATGTTACAAGCTTAATAACACAGGGAAACTAAAAACGGAAAGATTGCACAAAACTTAAGTCAACAATTAGAGGTTTCAGCGTGCCCAGCCTCGCGCGATTTTTACACACAATTTTGTATAATTTTTTATTTCTTTTTACGTACCTTAAGCGTAAATGCCCGTCCATCCCGACCGTCAGGAAATAGAACAGTCAGCAATTTCTTGTCTTCTCTAACTACAACACTACATACGGGAATACATTAGCAACAGAAGAGAATGCTGAGAAACAGCATAAGAAAGAGAAACTATCTATTAATACCTTCCTGAATTATTCAAATCAATTCCACCCAAAGTCAGATTTACTTCACCACCACGCGGAGGAAGTGCACTCTACATGAAGGGCCTTAAATATATCAAACTAAAGGAGGAGCAAATAACATAATATGAAGCTGGACAGCAAAGTCTAATCTCATGCGTAACAGGAAAGTTAGAAAATTACTATACTAAAGAAACAAACAAAAAAGGATCAAACGGAGGGAAATCAAGATGTGAACAAAACTAACAGGGTCGCTCTTGAAGAAAACCAAAGAGGTGCGTGTAAGGATGAACCATCGCTTCTTCCACGACTTCCATCCTAACCCTGTAAGAAGTTTATGTGAGATATTAAACCACATCACCTTAACAGTTTAAACCATAAAAAAAGCGTAATTCCACTTTCATGGTAGGAAGCCAAGGATCATCCAAGTTTCCATTGTACCATAACCATCATATGTGCATATTTGGATCAACCTACTACTCTCTATCTCAGCTGTTGTTGACTATGTGCTGTGAGTTAAGTGCATATTTGGATGTAAATGTCTTACTTAAATGTAATAGCTCCAGTAAATTAACCAATATAGGCTCTATGACAATATGAGCCTCTCCAGAGTGGAAGGAAAGCCAGGGGAAAAAGGATCTCTTGTTATTACAAGACATGAACACGTTGCTATTACAACTTCTTTTAACCACTGTCTACTCCAATACTAAGTGTTTTGCAATATATGTTGTTCTAATAACCCACACGTCACAATGCTCCATCCCTTTACTTCTTGCATATATGATTATCCTTCCCCAATAACCCTTGCACCTTCTCCATGAAAGAGCCGTAACACTTCACCATAATCATTACAGTAAAAGAGGAGTATAGGATTCACAAGGCTATCACATTACCTTGATATATGCGTAGACAGGAATACCAAGATTACATCTTTCTAACTTAGAATTGGGAGGAGAACGCAAACGAAATGTTTTCCAAGAAAACCATCATGGCAAGGGGGCATTGTTCTCGTAATTTATACATCATTTGTTTTACTTCTTACTTCATAAAAAAACATGTGATAAAAAGTCGAACTTTGGTTTAATGTGCTTTCAGTTTCCTTAGGAATGATAAGGTGAGATACACTTGGAATCCTATCAGACCCAAAAACTGATCATCAAATTGCTGCTCAGTGCATATAGTTATATACATGCAACTGGGGAATTTTGGCTTTCTGGGCTACTTGACTACGCTATTATTGTGAAAACATCAGGCACATTAAGAAGTTTTTTTCTCTAGCCTTGAGGCAGTTCAAGTACTTGAGGAAGCCGGCCGAATCCTTATATACGAGAAGGCGGGAAGCAAGGGCATAAGATCAAGGAAGGGAAGGAGGGCAACAGGAACTTTACTGGGAGAGGAGAGAGGTAATTGAGTAGCGACGTGCCTCGGTTTTACAACAGAATGCTCCTTCAAATTGTCAGAGACAGTGAAAGTACATTGATTTTTTATATTCCCTCCAAGCTGTGAGAAATTGTGAAAATTCTCTACTTCAAATACTGGAAATAACTAACCTTTGGAAGATATGAGCAGATGCCCACTCTTGAATACCTGCAAATCATCAAACCAAATCAATAAACATAAATAAGAGCAACAACCAGCGAAATCAAATACGCCTAAATAGAAACCAACATCACGTGAAATCAAAACAAGGCGACTAGCTTCGATACAAAATCATTCCAAA